TAGTATATTTTAGTAAAGGTTTCAAAGATCTTTTGCTGCATTATAAGGTAAAATTGTATTAATAATATTAGTATAGGTTTATTTATATGATTTAATAAATAATTTGTTAATAGGCTTGATTGTAGATTTTTGGTTTGGCTTGTTGTTAGGCTGTATTGTTACTAGTTTCTCTATATTGTATCTAATGTTGTGTTTTAAGTTTACTTTAACTTGTTCTAAGTATGCTATAGAATAGATAAAGATGCACTTTGTTTTTTGTAATTGCATTTTGTTAAGATTACATTTAAGACATAGTTGTAAAGTTGTGTTTTTTGTGACTGTTATCTAGTGATATATTGTTGTATGCTAATCTTCTATAGAGAAAATCTTTTTTATGTCTTTTTTTTTAGTATTATGATTTAGTCTTTCTTGTTAATCTGCCTGGCTTTGAGCATATAAGAGTTTGGTATAAGCAGTATATAGTTTTTGTTACTAATAATTTTATTAGTTTGCTAAATTATTTGTTAAAGCTATCTAGATGTTTTATCTCTTTGTATTTTTGTTATAACTTTTATGTTGGCGAATTTGTAGAAAGAAGAAGCAGTATATAGAATGTTAGTAAGTGAGACTCTGTTTGGTGCAATTTATAGAGAGTCATCCATGTAGGCTATTACTAAGGTGTATATCTTTTTTGTACTAGGAGAAGAAATTTCACTACAGTATCCTTGCTATTTTTTATATATTCATGATATTAATGGGTCATAATATATTTTCTAAAGGAGAGGAAAGATTGTTTGTGCAATATGTATTCAAATAAGAGTATACAAGTATATATAGTTTGTGCATTGTTCTATTATATAGATTTTTAATTTGTTAAGTTTTTTTTTTAACTTTGTAAGCTAATTTAATTTGTTGTAGAATATAGTTTATGTTGTGCCTTCAAAGGTTAACAGTTTGGGCCAAATTACTACATGCTTTACTAAGACTCTTGCTTAATATAAACTTTGTAACATTTATGCTATAGTCAAAGAGTGTTCTTTATAACTTAGTATATATAAATAGTTAGTTAATATATATGTATTAGTTGCAGCCAGTATAGAAAATCTAATGTTCTCATATTCTTAAGAGAACATACTTTTGAATTTGAGAATATTTGTTATTTTGAATATGTTCTCCATAAAAAAATTTTTGAGAACATATTGCTTGATAAATATGTTCTCTATATAGTATAGTAAGAATGAAGTTGACAATTAGAAAATAAGTAAATTCTGAAAAATTCTGAAAAGAAAATGAACAAACATAAAAGATAAGCAGGTTTGAGACAAAAATTTGAATAGATTACTGAAAATTTTCAAAAAATAGCAATAAAGATTTTTGTTTTGAGAACATAAAAATATTTTTGAAAACATTAAATTAAATAATTGTATTTTTATAAGAAAATAAATTTCAAAACAGATTTTCAACACTGGTTATAGCTGCATTTTAAATTTGTTGTAGTTAGATCTTGAGTATAGAGTTGTAGAAGTTATAATAGTTAAGTTGGTATATTATTTAAACAATATATTGTTAGTTTTGTATTTTGTTAATTTTTTAAAAAGTATATATTTTGTGGTAAAACATTATAAAGTTTGAAATAGATATAGTTAGGCCTGTTTATGTTTTGCTATAGTTGTATAATTATGTATAATATTGTTATAAATAGTATTTGATAGTTTGAAATTTTATATATAATAAGCAATTCTACTAAATTGATTATATAAATAGCTTGTTTTTTTTATAATTTTTGCATCTTTTAAATTTTTGATTATATTGGTTGCTTCTTCTATTATAATTTGATATATAAAAATTTGGCTTTTTCTTATTATAAACCAATATTCAAGAAATTTAAAAGCTTTTTTTGTTGAGATACTGGTAATTAATATGTTGTTGAATGTTATACTTGATGTTGTTTTAGTTATATTTGTTGCTAAGATTGATTTTGCTAAGTTGACTTAAATATTAGTTAGGTTATAGAATATAGTTGCTATGTTTATGATTTCTGATAGTTCTTCTTTTAATGTTGTGATTTAAATAGTATTATCTATATATGCTAGTACTAGATAGTTAGTTTTGTATATAGTACTATTGTTAGTTAGAATAGGTATATTTGTCTTTATTTTATATCTTATATATTTCTTAGTAATTGCAATTAGCAATAAATTATAATATATATATTATAGTAGAGGAGTAATTATCTCTTCTTGATTTATTTTATTATGAACTAAGTATTTTTATATAGTATTATAATTTGTAATTATGGTATTTACTTGGTTTATAAAAATGTTAATTATTAGTACTTGTAGTCAATCTTGTGCTAGTCGATTTTATTGGCTTAGCTGACTTAGTGAGTCAATTTTTTAAAAAATTAACTTAGCCAACTTATATAATAAATAGTAATTTAAATTATCTAAATTAGATGAAATACTACAATACTATGCAAGGGAATAGATTAATTGCATAACCAAAATTTAGCAAATCAGCTAAACTTTAAATTAGGTGCATTAGAGCTAGGCTGACATTAAGCAATAATACTATTTGACTATACTATAGCCAAATTAGCATCTAAGCAATTTTATTTAGTATATAGGCTACTGGTTTATTAGTAAAACTTTAAGTAAAATTAATCAATTCTGGCTTATTCTAATCTGAAATTTTGGTCAATCTGCTAAATTTTGATTATGCTACTATAGTCAAGCTTTACTTTAAGTTTTCATAGTTCCAGATTTTTCTGAATTTCATTTAAACTTTTTTTAGAAATTTTGGTGACTTCAGTATTGTGAACTATTATGCTATGGATTACACTTAATCAGGATTCTGCTTGCATTTGAAAAAATGCCTTATCATTAACTTTAATTATTGTATAACAAGAGCAGAACAAGTTCCTTAATCAATAGAAACAATAGGTTAGAATAATAATTTTTGCAAATTGGACAATAAGTAATTAAATTAGTAATATTATTATGCAAGCTAACCTGAATTCAAGGGTTTATGTAGAAACTTTATATAGAATTCTAAAATTATATGTACTTAGAGTTGGCAATAAAGCTCAATAGAGCTCAATAGAGCCTAATAGAGCCAATAAATACTATTTTGAGCTCTATTCATATTACTACTAAGTCTATTGACTTCATTACTAATCCTGTATATATTATATCAAAATTATATACAAATTACAAACATATAACATTATGCATATATACTGGTAAAAGACATTCATACATTAAACTAATATAATCAATAAAATATCTAAGTATTATCATTATAATAATTTTTTTTAATTGATATAAAATAGAATGATTAATTTTTAGTAAGTTAAAAAAGGCACTTGCTAAAAATATATATTAAGAAACTGTAATAAAAGTTTTCATACTCATAACTGATTATAATAATAAATTGAACTGCTTTAAACAAACCCAAATTAAAAATACTCTTTTGAAATCTAGAAATATTTTTGTAAGTTCTTTAATCAAAATACAAAAAATTATAAGCCAAACTTTTAAGAATAGCATAATTTAATCAATTATTTTGCTAATATATATACCCAACCCATATGTAACATTATGTATTTTAAAAAAAATATATATATAATAAATACCCTTAAATTTTAACATCAATACTCTTATATATTATTAAATATTGCATGTGTTTTAAATAATCCATAACAAAATGTATAATGATTAATCATTTGATAAGGTTATTAATAAAGAAAATATGTTGTTCAAGTATAATGAAGCCTATAATTTTGAAGATAACATTAGTGATGCAAATGATATTGATGATAGAAATGTTTATAATAATGATAACATAAATAAAAATTATACTGATGCTGAAAATAAAAATGAAAATCTAAATGAACACATTAATAATACTGCTAGGTTTTTATTTATTACATTCTATTTTAACTCTGTCTCATGTAAAATTTTCACAAAAAAAACTCAAAATCAAATGTAATATATATAAAAAAAAAGCAAGCCTAGTAGTAGCTAGGTATGGAAATATACTTACTGAGACAAGTTAACTAAGGTTAAACATTGTGATATCTGTATAGAAAATGAGAATAGTACTTCTAAGTAGTGTAAAGCATTATTTATACTCAAGACATTAGCAACTAATATAGCTACACATTTATGTACTAAGCATCAAATTAATAAACAACAAAAATAGAAAGCACAGCCTTCTATTATATCTACAAATCCTATATTAACTAAACCAAAAATTGAAGCAATGATATAAAAGCAGATTGAAAATACTTTACTATTTCTTGAAAAAAAACAAACTTGTATTATTTATTAGCTTGCTGCTTGGATAATCAAAGTTATGATACTATTGAATTGTATTAACCATGATCAATTTCAAGACTTTTGCTATAAAATTAACCAACAGTTTGAGATTTCTTGTATTAATACAATTAAAAATGTAATTAAAGAATTGGTAATTTACACACATGCATTATTAAAAGAAATGTTAAACCAAACAATGATTTCTGTCTTTATTATTACTGATTTATAAATTCAAAATTATGTTCTATATATTGAAATAACAGCATACTGGTTTTCTAAAGATTTTATAATATATCAATCCTTAATTACAATTGAGCACTTTGCCTATTCACATACCAGAGATCAAATCAAAGATTTTTTGTATAAAGTTCTTGTAAAATAGAATATGTTTGACAAAGTTAGTGCAGTAATAACTGATAATACATCATCTATGATGAAAGCAGTTAGACAATTAGGCACCATCCATTTTGGTTGTACTGCCTATAGTATTCAATTTGCAGTAACAGATGGATTAAAAGAGTGTGAAGTTTTAATTAGATATGCAAATTCTTGAATAAATTTTTGATTAATCATAACAAATATTGATCATTATTTAGAAAGATCCAACATAACATAATTGAAAAAAATAAAATTATAACCCACTTACCACCAATACACATATTCTAGAACCAATATCAAGTGATAATGCCACTAGATAGAATTCTACTTATCTTGTTCTTCAGTACCTTCTTGAGCTTTGGAATCTAATTTTAGAATTAGCTATATAATTAAAAAAAATCCTAACTATGCAATTCATGCTGATGGTAATAGTTTAAGTAAAAGAATAATTTCAAATGAAGAATAAACAGATATGATTATAAAATTACTATAACTTCTCATAATTTTGTAGTAAGTTTAAATAAATTAGTTTTTATGTAATTTATAATTTGAATATATAATATGTAGTATTTAAGATTAAATTTTTGATAACTAAGAAATTACAATACAGATTATATATTCAAATCAAGAGTACTGGTTAAATTTTTAAAAGTCAAACTCTATATATAACATAATAAAAATTACATAAATCTAATTTATTAAAATTTGTTTATATTATTTCACCAACAATTACTTCAAAGACATCATTTCACTAACACTTATTTCTTTGATCTTTCAGATGATCAATTTTACAGAATAGTTCATTTTAAGACATTATATTTCATTTTATAGACAAGCTTTTTTTAATAAATTCAATAATCTTAATTCTAATTTCATACCTAACCTTAATAACAATAACTAGAATTACTTTATCTGTGAAATAAACTATCAATAAAATATACTATCTACAAAATGAACTATTCAATAAAATGTATGTTAGTAAAATATAATGTCTTTGAGGTAATTGTAAGTTGATTAAGTTAAATATAAGATTGTAACTTTTGAAACACAATTTAATAAACAGGCCTAGAAGAGTTGTATCAAATTTTATGTCTCTTTGTACATGCATTAATCTTCGTAGGTAGTAATCAATACTCTATACTGAATATAATGTATCTGACTGTATAACATTATTTCAAAAACTTAGATCAGATTGAAGATAAACTTACACATTTAGATGTTGTTGAAATGTACAAAGGTCTTTGCTCCTTAATGATATCTTGATGTGATAATTCAGAAATGGTTGGATGGCTTTCCACATTTCTTAACCCCTACTTCAAAACTTTATCAGCTGTTTCATCCATAATTCAACAAGATGTATTCTAAGAAATACACAAAAAAATTAAACTTTTTTATCAAACTAATGACTTACCCTCTATCAACCAAGCTTTAACTACAGAAATGTTTTTCTTTTTTGATGATGGAAACAAACTCTTCTCTTTATCTTTAATCGATACTGAACTTCAAGTATATTTATCAATTTTACAGATATCTAAATATGGTTCAAAAGATTTGCATTATAATAAATATAACTTTCTATATTGGTGAAATGAGCATAAAAATGTCATACCTCTTCTCACTGAACAAGCATGAGTTTTTTGGAACATGCCAACTACTTCTGTACCTTTAGAGCATCTTTTTTCTGATGCTGATAATACTATAACAGATAAATATAATAGTTTAAGTACAGATATGATCTATAATCTTTTGTTTTTAAAAGAAAATTTGAAAATAATTAATGTATATGTTGGATTATAAATTTTTGGTTAGAACAGTTCTAAATTTTTATTTATTAATTAGCAAATTCTTATACATATATTAAATAAAAGTAAATTCATAAAATGCTCTAAATTTGCAAGATAAAATAATGTACTAGAGATTGTACCTGTTGGAAAAACCTCTACCCGAGTATTATTAAATTGCTTGGTTTATCCGGATAAATTACTATGTCACATAACACAATTTCTACCTGGGTATTATTAAATTGCTTGGTTTATCCGGATAAATTACTATGTCACATAATACAATTTCTACCTGGGTATTATTAAATTGCTTGGTTTATCTGGATAAATTACTATGTCACATAATACAATTTCTACCTGGGTACAATCTCTACTTCAAAACTATGTGAGCAAACGAAATTTGATATATTTATTAAAATTAATTATTTAAAAACTACGCAACTTATTGAAACCCTAAAGAATTACCTTGAAATTTTCTCAAGTAACTTATTAAATGTTGAAGAATAAAGTTATGCTTTCGGATTTTTATTAACATATAAAAGTGAAAAAAATTTTGAATTTAAATGTAAGTCGAAACTTTTGCAAATTATAAAAAAAGTGCAATGTCAAGATGCTATAATTTTTTGACCAATCATATCTATTATTTGTCACATGTTTTAATTAACCAATCAGGATAATCGACTTAGGTATAGTCGGCTAAGCCAATTTTTAAATATGGGCTTAGTCAAGTCGATAAATAAGGGTCGACTACAAGCACTAATTATTTTAGGAAAAATTTATTTGAGAATAATTATTTTGTAATCAAAATTTATTTTGTAAATAATTTGTTTCTGTATTTATAGAAAGTTTACATTTTTTACTTGTGAATAACTCATGATATACTGGTTAATTCGATGCAAGATCAAATATTAAATCTCTTATAACGTTCTTTTCTTTACCAATTATTTTTTTTTTTTTACAATAGATTATGGTAAATTCTAAACTTAATAAATTGTTAATTAACAACGATACAGTTGCCTTATTCGAATAAATTCAGCATGCTCTTCAATGTAATGGAACTATTTTAAATTGGGTATTAAAATAAAAAATTAATTTTCTTTTTTTGCTAACATGTGCTTTTAAATAAAACTAATGAAATTTGGTTTATTGCACTAAAGGATGCATCAAAACAATTCGAATAAGTATAGCTTTATTGGTATATCATTATTCGTTTATAAGTTATTAAGTTTAGAGTTATTTATCGTATATTTTATTGATAAAATTGATCTGAAGGAATTGACAAAATTTCGAAAACTTTAATTAGTAAAATTTATATGATACATACTGTGTTTGTGTTTAATATATTATTTCATAACCTATACGTAGCCTCTCACAATGTTAAGAGAAAATGAAGTTGGATGTTTTTTTATACTTTACTAACGAAAGAGAATTCTTAAACATCACTTTAATTATCTTCGTAATTCTCACTTGTCGTCAATGTTCAAATTACTAAATGAACCTTGAATTTCATCCCAATATACGTACACAATTTCACAAATTGGCATCATGTTTCTGATACTTTCCCGACACCCAGATCTAGGTGTCACCAAAGAGGTTGGGTGTCACCAAAAAGGTCCAATCATTATAATGTATGTACGTACGTACGAAACATATGCTTACCCCTTGTGCATAATTCCGTTGTCACATGTAAAGACATGTGACAAATCTTCTGTTACTATTGATGCAACTCAAAAATCAAAGTGATAATGGCAAAACAATGTGATACTAATTATCACATGGTTTGAGACGTCTCATTTAGGTTGTGTATACTGTACAGTACGTATCACTAATAATTTTCCGTATCAGTACGACATAGGAATTTAAATGCATATCCCCATTATGGCCATTTATTAAACAATGGCATAATAAATATTTATTGTAATATAATACTATTCAAATATCTATATATGGGAAAAATACATTTACTCCGGTGAGAATGAGGATGATAATCTAATCGATTAAAACTTGATAAAGCTTCATCGGCCGACACTATACGCAATGATTTAGTACGGAAAATCTGTCGGAACTATAATCTAGGGGTTCGCATACTATAATAGAACTATTTAATGTAAACTAAGGAATGATTGAAGAATTTTCTTTTATTCAAATTTATTTATTGTCAACAAATCTAATATCAATAGATGATCAAAAAGGAAACAACAAATCGCAAAAGCCAAATATTGGGTTTTCTTTGTTTTTAATAATTGATCTTTTTTTGAACAAAATTCAACCATTTATTTGTAATAATAAAGATGTAAATATTTATAATTTTGAAACAAAACATATTTGTCAGATGACAAATATTAATATAATTTACTAGTGTTTTTTTAATATATAAAAGTACTGAAATTCAGTGTACAACATGCAATGCAGGACAATTATGTCATTATTTATTACAACTCCCCCAAAGCAATAGAATAAGTTCAAATCAGATTAAGTCAGATTTTTAAGATACATCGTAAAACTAATTAATTGGTTAGTTCCTTTTTTGAATTTTGTAATACTTTTGAATATACTAACTAATTTTGATTATTTTATTTGTTATCAACAGAATTACAGGTAAAATTTTTTTAAAAAAAGACAATTAATATTCTAAACATTATATATTCGTCATACGAGCTCGCAGTTGTAAATCCGATCCTATGTAGCTGTTTTTTTTTTGTAGATATACATATTTAAAACTTTGTGGTATATTTTTATAATCACTATAAATGGTTGCATGATTTACAACCAATTTTGTATTAGTTTTTACTGTGAATGCAGGGGTATTCAGAGCGAAATTATGTTGTAATCATTATAATACTGCAAAGCATATGAAAAATTTTGCCAATTTTACATAAATGATATAAACACCAAGATACATTTAGCCAACTAGAAGAATGATTCAAAATTTTGGTCAAATTAAATTCAATTTGATATTATTGATTAGCCATTATCAAAAAAATTTGCATAAATATTTAATCATGGGTTATAAACGATTGTTGATTCATCTATTATTCAAATTTCTAGGTGTGCATATTCTTTTATGAATCTTTGTTATCAATTATTTATTATAAAGAAAAAATAAATAAATTTTGATTTAAAAATTTTATTTAAGTATTAATAACTGCTTATGTAATGTATATATCATGCTCGTGAATATGACTATAAAACTGCATCTCTGATTGAAGAAAAATTACGAAATTGAATAAAATCAAATTGTTAGATAATAATTATGGGTTACAAATATGTAACCTCACAAATCCCGATTTTGAGCTCGCTTTGTTTTCCCTAAAGAAGTTAGCTAAGATGCAATCAATAATATGTAAAAATGATTAAAAAATGTTGACATCATTTGTTTGGAAAGCCATGGAAAAAAGCTGCAGTATTGCGTGATCTAGCTCAAATAGTAAGTTATTTTAGATATCATTAAGGATCCGCGACACGAAGAATCACAAGGTGCAATTCCTGTCGTGTAACTACGTACTGTACGTATACACGGATGGATTCTCCGATAAACCATCAATCAATGCTATCGATTAAATATCCTCGAGATATTCAGAGTGGTAATGATTCACAAGAGTGCGGAGAGATTCACAAGAGTGCGGAGAGGTTCACAAGATTCACAAGATTGTGGAGAAAGTTGTATTATTGTCAATAATATAAATATAGTAATAGTGATGTGCATTATTACATATCGATATATTAATTTCATATTCCACTAAAAAATCAACAACCATTACGTCACATCAGCATTACATTATTAGTTACAACCCGATAGTAAATCAATACGTCCATTCCATTTTATTTCGACATCAATTGACCAATCAAACCTTGTCTTAGTCACTAGTGCAAGTTTGATTGGTCAATTGATATCGGAATAAAATAGTCGGAATTACGCACTTTCGGGAAGATGGCTTTACGATTGAATACTTGTTTTGGAAAATTTTCATCATATGATCTTGACAATGACTCACCAATTTGACATGCAGAATTTCTATATTGGCTTTTTTTTTCCCGAGGGACTTATTATCTGAGATGTCAATTGGCATTTATAACCTTTCTGTCACACATAGGAACTACTCTTCGGCCGTAAACAATTAAAAAAAATGTTAAATATTTTGTGAAACAAAACAGTAAACCTTTTGTTTAATGCGCTGTGCGAGTCGGCAGTATTTATCGGTTTTTCAAGTTTCAAGTATAATACATATAGTAAAATTATGTAAAATTATGTATACATATTGTACGCGAAAATTTTTGTCGATTATTTCACCAGCCAATCAAATCACTAGATACGCACTATACGTACTGCGAAAAAAATTCGGGTACTGTATCATATAAATGGCACATCTCTATGTATACGGTATTACTTATAATGTATTCTAAATAATAAAGTAGGATAAAGTATTTAAAAATCAAATATAAAAAATATAAATTAATTTTAAATACGTAAATTATATATATTTATTTGTGAAGTAACCTTCGGCGAAAATAATATACTTTACAAATAAAATGAACATGAAAGTTATCGCAAATGATTCAAAGGCTTAAACACGCAATTGATTTACAGTATATCAATTTACTATATTTAATCAATCAATAAATAATATATTTTACTTTAAAAATAATTTTCAATAGTGCAATGTTTCGGATTTTGTGTTTATTTAAATTGGAAAACAAGTCAAAAGAAATCTCATTATCTGATAATATATAGTTATTTGTAAAAATATTCCATTATCTGGGTTAATTTAATGTGCCAGCTTCTGGACCCAAGCCAGATAAGTAAGTTATTGGTGCGATATTATCCGATAACTTACAACGACTGGACCATCGGAATGACTCGAGTTGTTTTGATGGTAATTACGTTTCACCAAATAACGAAGTTATTTGGTGAAACGTAATTGCCATCAAAATAACTCGAGTTATTCTGATAGTAAGCTATCGGTAAGGATTAATATTTAGCCAAGTCTGTCACGTACATACTCGTGCATTTACTAATTTATTTTATTATAACAAGATATTCAAATAATTTTAATTAGATATTTTATCAATAACTTCTTATGATCTCATGATCAGTTTAGGGGGTTTTATTTACACAATCACGAAAAAAAACAGATTGTTACCCTTTCTAATCTCTCTAATCCTTTCTTAGAACAACTTTAGCACGCGGTCTTATCTCATTCCTGAAAAGATGTATTTTCTTTGTTTAACTTTCTATCAGTTCGGGCGATTAAGGTTGTTAACGGAATTATTACGCACGTGATCTAATTATATATTTTAAATATAAATACTTGTCATTCTACTTAGGATATGAAAAATTCATAGAGCATATTCATAGAGTTATAATAATATAGATATGGATATGAATACAATAGAATTATTTATCGCTCATTTACAAAATCCAGTGATTTTTCCTGGACTTTTTCTGTTCGATATACATTCGTATATTCGAACCTTACGACCATATAATATAAGACGAGTTACCGCTTATAACTTGTTTAAAAAACAAATAACTGAAGAAGGTCATTTAATAAACATGACCGATAGAAAAGTTATTTGTCTGTCCACGAACAAAGTGTGGAGAAGTCTAACACCCGCTCAAAGAAACGTATTCGTTATATACGCAAGACAAGTTCGATTTATTATTGGACATTGATATACTTTCTAATTGGTGAAATTGTTGACAAATATTAATGGCAAATCGTTGACAAACTTTAATTATTGACAAATCGTTGGCAAGTTTTGATTATTGGCAAATCGTTAACAAACATTGATTATTGGCGAATCGTTGATTTTTGCAAATCATTGACCACTTTTTATTGGCAAATCGTTGATTATTGGCAAATCATTGACAAACCTTGATTATTGGCAAATCGTTGACAAATATTGATTATTTGACAAACTTTTAACAATTCTCAAATTTTTTATATAAACTTTTGTTATCAACTTATAGACGTTCGTTTTTTAAAAAATAATTTGGCAAATCTAAATATTTAAGGCATTTTATCTATATAGAATATAGAATATACGTGAAATTTTATTATATAAAATATAATTAAGATAATAGTAATTAAGATAGAAATTATTTTCAACCAATTAAAGTTGTTAATATAAATAATTAATTCCCAATTATAATGTCAATCTTTATTATTTTCTTGTATACAAAAGATGAAAAGAGGCGAAAATTTTTAATAAAATTGTTTGTTATCAAGAACTTTTACCCTACCCACTAAATTATCGTGATTCAAAGATCTGAAACTATGACATACCAAATAACAATAAATATCCATAAACCTGAAGAATTTATTTATTCATTGTTTATTATTTTTTCTATTTCAAATTCATAGTGTTTGGTGTATCAAGTCAATTTTTAGGTCAAGTTAAACTTGATTCGAGTTAAATTAATCAATTAAAAAAGCCCCGACCAGCATCAATTATAATTCCGGACCGCACTAACTCTAAAATAGGGGTCATTTGACTCAGGTTAAGTTTAGCTTGAACTTTACCCGTAACATGTATACAGTATTTAACAACCTTCACCAATCAAAAAAAAAGTAAAGTTTAGGTCTAAAATTTAGTATAATATGATTTAATTATTCAATTGTTAAAAGATTCTCATTTAGTAACTTTTAAATATAGTATCTTAAAAACAGTTTTTTTATCATCACATCAATGAACATAACTTGTATTTTAATTTACGTAATCTGTATTTACATTATTTACCAAATGTCTCCGGGTAAGAGACCTAGAGAAGTCTAGACCCTGCACTAACCAAAGGCAAAAACGTTAATCCGTAATTTATATGATATTTATTTTTCATACCCTAAAATTTGAAATAATGTTACTAATAAATATTTTGATTGATTCTAATTTTAGCTTATGTAACATTAAACTACGTATGTACCAGGTAACCGTGATAAAACAACAATGAGGAATACATATCGATCAAGACAATATGATATTGTCTAGCTCCTAAAATAAGCACGCTATATCAACTTCAATTTTTTTAATATTAGACTAATAGAATAACTTAACCAATCTGAGATTTAAAAAGTAGGGCAGAGATTAGGGTTCTGCAAGTGTCGGGCACGTACTATTAAAAATGGTGCCCAGGCCTGTGCCTGGCACTTGCAGAACCCTAGCAGAGATGGGTAAGGTAATTACTTATTACGTAAAAATCAATTCTCATTATGTGACAATTTACTAATAATATTTACTTACAACTAATAACATGCTAAATTGTCGCATAGTGTGATATAACTTTTACGTAATAAAGTAATTAATTACCTTGCCCATCTCTAGTACTGTAGTAGAGGGTAACAAGGTAGATTCCCACGCACAAGCCCGTAATTTCTAAGAATTTGTCTTTTTCTTGGAGAAATGCTTAAGTGCATACGCAGAGCACAAATTTTTTCCCCGAAAGCATTTTTCCTAACGGAACTTAATAAATTATAGCCGGAAGTCGGAAAATCGGGCAGAAAATTGTCTTACATAGACAGATCTGTATGCGCGTACGAATTTTTGTCAAATAGGTGTAACAATTGCATTTGGATAAACAATACAATTCAATGTTTTCATTGTAGTGTCCGACTATGCATGTTATTTGTAATAAATCCTTCATTTGATGTGTTACAAAGTGATCTTTTCAAAAAGTCCACGTACAAGAATCTAAATTACTGCATGGCTACATGTATAGAACAGCAAAAGAACAGTTTCTTGGCACAATTGCCTCATGGCTACATGATGTCAAACAGCAAGGGAACAGTTGGGTGTTAATTAGACCAGAATTTTTTTTTATTTTTTTTATTACCATTTAAATTATCACAAATATTTCACCATCCTAATTATGGAATTATGGAAAACTTTTCAAAAAAGTATTCTTTTCTACTAAAGTACATCTTAGCAATCAATATATATATATATATTTGTGATTTTATCGTTACTAGTGTTATTTTATTTTTTTAAAAAAATTATCTAAATTCTCTTTTTTTTAGTTATATTGTTTAAATATCTTTTTAACTAAAAAGGTTACGTCAAAGCTCCAATATAATGTAATGTCAAGTGAAGATTATCTATCAGTTTGACCCACACATTACTTTTTTTATGAAATTAAATTAGGTACCTCTTTATTGGACACAATAACCGCTTAAAGATGCATACTTTTTTTCTGGTATTTTATTCAACGACTTCATATGAATTTCGGTGCTTGTGATAGTAATCTAACTAGAATTAAAAGACACTTATTGTATACAAAAATTTCCAAAAAACTCCTTAGCCTAATTCTCTTTTTAAAAGAAATGTTTAATCCTAGTCTATGTTCAAAAGGTAACAAATCCTGGCGGATGCTTAAAAGGTAATCATATGGTATTGTTTCATTTTTTTATTCAAGGGAACTACACAAGTGCCACTACAATTCACTTATATTAGCAAAAAGATATGAATTGAATTAAATGACTACTGTAATATTACGCATTAAATTTCATCCCGCTTCTACCAAAACCAATCAAGAAAATAATACTCTAGATGAATATCCTCCCAAAGATGGTTACGAAAATAATAATCAATTAAACTTCATTACAAATCAATTTTTTAATCTGTAATACATTGTTAATTTTATAGAAAATATTGGTTATTATTAAATCTGTTACAGTACAAAGGTGCGCTTCTTATTATTTTCCCTCCATCACAATCATCTGAATAATCCTAGGGATGGTTACTGCGCTGAATTCTTAAGATGCTGCGCAGTGTGATTGATAAAATTTAGACTAGCTGGTGTTACACCCGAATTACCTCCTTATAAGAACGGGATAACTAAAGACGATAATAAACGAAGGCTTTGTGTTCGTCTTTTATAATATCGATAAAGAGGATTTATAGTGATTTCAGTTGCTAAAAGGGCAAACGACTAAATGTATATGAAGATACTAGTAGACGTATCATAGTTTATTTCTTATTTAATAAAGTCTTGAGTTATTCGTGTATTAAGACACGATTACTCTTTATTAATCAATAACAAGTGGAAGCACACCGATTTATGGTGCAATATAGGGGCCTTTTATAAATTTCAATGAATAGAGATCTTCACGGCTAGAATTCACTTGCAATTGAATTTTCGGTTAACATCACTTTTTAGAACTCTTGGGGGGGGAGATAAATTAAACGAACATATATATGAGTAGGGATGGGCAAATCGAGAATTTTTCGAATCCACTGCGCAACCTGCAATATTATACAAGCCGACCAGAATTATACTAGCTGGCCAGAATTATACTAGCTAGCCTGAATTTTAAAAATCACACTACGCAGTCTCTCAAAAATTCTGTGCAGTGGCCCATCCCTAAATATGAGTCAATTTGATTGGTCGATGTAAATCAAGAGATTGGTGAGAGTTATCCAGCGTTTTGATTTGTTTTTCATTTCTCTGGGGGAGCCTTCAGTTGGGGGTGATGTCAACCGAAGAATCAACTTCGAACGGCCTAATTCTATGATTAATAGTAAGATAAGAAAAGAGAAAATAAATTACGGTGTTATAGTATATAGAGAAATAATAATAGTGGGGTAGATAAAAGCTTGTGCGGCTGCCGGGTTAGTGATAGGTTCGTTTAGGTTATAGTGGGCTAGCTAACCGACTATAGCCGTAGTCGATAATAGTCAACTAGAGCGTTCCGGGGAGACCGTCCCAAATTAGGAAATTATTCCGATATGGTTTCACAATTGGTAAAGAAAATTTTTTATACGTTTTATAATGCTTTTTCAGGGGGCTCGGGTAGCTTATCCATTCTAAGAAACGTGAACAAGCATACTAAGAAAACTTGAATGCTGCATACTGTACTACACTGGCGATCATAAATAATGCAACAAAAAAAAATTTAGTCGGATCGTATTATCACACGCAATTCCGGGCGTATTTGTTAAATTTTTTTTATTTTATTCCGGGCGTATTTGTTAAATTTTTTATTTTATTCGAAATTTTTTATTTTATTCGCAAATAGCAATATTATCATTAATAAAAAAGATTTAAAAATTTAGGGATCAAAATTTTTTGGCGGCACAAGCTTTATTTAACAGCAACACGATTGTAAAATAAAAAAATTTTTTTACATAAAAAAAAAAATGTTTTTTTTTCTAATAATTTTCAGTTATCACCATCTGGTGTAGTCACCCCGGGCTCTAATTACATCACGGATTTGTTATGGCATTGAACAAATTAACTTCTTGCAGGTTTCAATGTCAATTGCCTGTCAAACCATTTGAATTTTTTTTCAGAGATTCTTTTTACTTAAAATTTGATCAGGAAGGTCTCTAAGGCAATGATCAATTTCATCTTACAAGTGTTCAATTGGGTTTAGATTAGTCAATTAGGAAAGTCAGTCAAAAAATTTCATTTTTTTTTTTGTAAATCAATGTTTGGTCAAGGTTGCTGTATGACAAGATGTTTCATCTTGTTGAAAAACAACTTCATCAATTTCAAATCCATGATCTTCAATTATTCACATCAAATCTTCATGGAGTATTTTTAGGTATAGATCTATATCCATCATACCATTAATCTTATAATAGTTGATGATATTATAATAAATAAGATAATCTTAAATTATAATTGATCTGCTATTATATTTCATAATAGGTTTGACATAGAACTGATTTAATAATTCT